GGAAAGGGTCATATGATTTACTCTTTGGAATATTCCAAAACAATACAATAAGACAAGTTAATGGAATTTTTCCCACAAAGTCATTAATACACATTCCATTAATTGAGCAAATAAAGTTACAGCACTAAAATTATTTTCACAAACAGTTGATGGAATTTCTGCAGAGCACAATAAAGAAAGAAGTGACCTTCCTTCAATAGAACTCACTAAATCATAAATAAAACGAGTAGAAATAGTTAAACAAATAATAATACCAGCAACTCCCATTTGAATTGGACTTGGATGAGATTGTTCAAGGTCACGAGAATTAATAAAGAAGATTCTTATTGAAACATAATATAAACCAACTAATAAAATAAAGTATGTAACACCACTAAATGCAAATGTAGAAATAATTAAGTATTTTGTTTGTTCAAACACTAACATAATATCAATCACTGATAAAGAAAGAATATGAAAGAAATTTAATAAAAGAATTATAACAATAATATTTATTTTCCAATTATTCCATTTGTGTTGGTGAATTAATGAAGCATAATAATATGTTACAAAAGATAATATTGCAACCATTACAAAACTTGGAACACTAATACTAAATAAATAATTTAAATAAATAATAAAAATACAAACTCTGATATCATCCATTGAATTGACATTTCTATAGAATTCTCTTTTTCAAAATCAGAAAAAAGGAATAAAAAGAATGCAATCATTAAATCAACAACTCTAAATACACACCACGATAAGGCAAATAAAATAACTAAGTTTTGAAACCCACAAAATCTGTGGCTAAAATATTAAGTTATTCACTTTAATTATTTTGTTAAATAACAAACTGGTTTTTGACTATTCTAATACTTTGAATTATACATAAAATTGCAATAATAAAATATTCAAATGCTATAACTAATTTTTGAAGTGGAAAATCATAATAGTCATTAAGGTCATTATTACTTTGTTCACTCATAATGTGTTATAATCCTTTCACAGAACAATTTTGAACTTGTAAAGAACGTAGAATCTTCTTCCTTAACCCTATAATTAAATATTAATATTTTTTTATTATAATTTATAAAATTTGTTTTTATTAATCAAAGAGGAAATGAAAAAATAGAAATTTCAATCTCTAAATACTTTTCATTTTATTTGAAAAAAAATGTATAAAAATTGTTAAAGAACTCAAAAAAGAAAAAAATTATTGAATTTCATAAATAAAAGAAAAATGGAAAATACATATTCAAGTGATGAATTATCATATCTTCTTCATGCTAAAAGAATGTTGGAAAAAGAAAAGGAAAATGTTTGAAAAGATTTTCTTAAAAAAAAAAATTTTTAATTATTTTAGATTGAACGTAGAGATATTATTTACCAAAACATTTGTGAAGAAGTGGGTGCTTTTGAAGCATTAAACGTTGCAGTAGATTGTGATTATAAACAATTTAGTGAATCATTGAATCAACAATATTACTATTTATTTTATTTATTTTAAAAAAATGAAAAATTAAAAACTAAAAAAAATTAATGAGCAAATTTCTTCTTAAGTTCTTCAAGTTCTTCTGGAGTATATTCATCTGCTTCATTCAAATATTCTCTCATTTCTGCTGGTGATTTTCCAACTAAATGTTTTGCAACGCAACGAGCACATGATTCAATAAGCATTGGAATTTGCATGAAAATAGCACCATGAAAAACTCCAAAAAGAGTATCTTTTTCTAATTCATCACAAAATTGAATATCCCATGGATGAAGCTTTGAAAGTCTACATCTATCTTCTGGAGTATCATTGTACATATGTGGATGTTCGTTATGGTAATTCATCCATCTAATAATGTGTTCCATAATTTCTTTAGAAACACTAGTAATTGGAATTGGTTCATCAGCTGATGATCTTTCTTTCATAAGATTTTGGACAAGGACAGATTGCTTGGCACAATCTTCTGTTACAGTGAAATTTGTTTTATCACAAGATTCAATAATAACGTTTTGGGCAGCCATTTACTAATCTACATTTTACAGTTCTATTCTTTTATAAATACAGTTTTATTGAGGTTTAATTTAATAATGATCATTAAAAATTTAAAAGGAACTAAAAATAAATCTAAAACTTTATTACAAATAATTAAAATGTATAAAATAAGAACTAATAAATAATTTGATTATTCAAAAATCTGTTTTTTATTAAAAGTATCTTTTCTTTTGATTGGTCTGTTTTTACTATTAATAAAATTTTTATATTTTTTTTAAATTGAATAATTTAAAATTAAATTTTTTTGATTATTTTGTTTTTTATAATATAATTTTACATTTATTTATATTATAATTAATCAATTAAACTTTAGAATTTAAGATAAATGATGACTGTATTTATTAAAGTCATTATTAGCTGTCAATTATTATTTTTGTTTAATTATGTTAATATAAATGAAAATAGAATAAAATAAAATGATTTTTTATGTTATTTAATACAACGGAAAAAAGAATTTTATATTTTTTAAAAAATAAATTTAAAGAAAAGGACAATTGGATTTTATGACATTGAGAAGTAATTATTTCAATTTCTTCATTATAATTTACTTCTGGCATAGAGAAATAGAATAAAGGGAAGTAAGAAAATGATATAAAAAATAATTAAACTAATACGAACTAAATAAAAGAGAATAAAAATTATTTATTCTGTTATTATTAAATTATTATAAATTAACATATTGGTCTAATGACTGTAAATATATTTAAACATATTAGAATTATAATGATAATAACAATCATAACTTAAAAAGATGAGGCGTTGAGTTCAATAAAATATCTGTTGTGAATAAAACACAATAACTATATTTAGAATGGATGAATAAAAGTGGTGAATGCCTATTATATAATTATGAAATTAATGTTAAAGTTGAAATAAACCACAAAAAAAGACCCAACACAACTAAAAAAGAATAACAACAAAATAGGAGTATATAAAAAAAATTAACAGATATTTCAACAGGATGAACAAAGTATTTAAATTGAATTAATTGAGAACTTACATTTGTTATAGAACCTAATCTAATTTAAAAGAATTGGCATTGAAATATTATTTAAAATACTAAATAGAAATAAGAACAAAAACAAAACAAATTGATAAAAAGAAAGAGAAACAATAATATCATTAAAATACTGAAAAGAATTAATAACACCAAAATAAAAAGAATAAAGGAAGAAAATAAAATAAAAGATAAAATAGAACAAAATAATATTAAATTAATAAATAAAAATTAAATTTTAATTGAAATATTCTTAATTTTTTTTAATCTCCAAAAATTAAAATAACAAAATGTTTTCTATTGTTCTTCTCTTTTTTTTAAATCTTGTTTTTGGTAATGTTATCCATGTAACTGAAGATTTATTTAGGACTATTCTTGATGAGAGTCCTCTCACCGTTGTTGGTTTTCACAAAGGAGATAATGATACTGTTAGTCAATTAAAAATGTTAGAAAAAAAAATATCAAGTTCAGCCATTAATTATTTTGATATTAATTGTAATGAAAATGAAACTATTTGCAATTTACATGATATTCGTAAATATCCTGAATTTGTTGTTTACAATAATTTTGTTATTACTTTTTATTCTAAAGTTGATGATATTCTAATCAATGACTTACAAAATATCATTTATGGAATAAGAGAAATTAATTCAACTGAATTAGATAAAATGATTTTAAATAACCAAACGTTTGTATTACTTCATTACACATCTCAAGAAACGGTTAAGGATTTTCTGTCTCTTGCGAAGGCTGTTCGGCGTATTCCTTTTTACAGTATAAAAGATACCTATAAGTCTCTTATTCTTTATAACAACGAATTTAATCCTTTACCAGTTCCATTAGATATAGATATAAATACAATTTTTAAGACTATCTGTTCTTATTCAAACCCAATTGTCTCAAACTTAAATGCAGATATAATTAAAAGAAATTTTAGAAGTAGAGATATCATAGTTTTTTACAACAAAGAAATCAATGAAAATGACCTCATTGAATTAAAAAAAATTGCTTTGGAAAATCGACCATGGTTAGTCACATATGTTGATAACCAAAATGAAATACTTGATTTGTTACCTGTCAGAGAAGCTCCTGCTGTATTTTCTTATTCGATGAAGACGTTAGAGCCAACTATTCCATTGATATTGTCTGAAGAAGGGAAATGGTCAGAGATTAGAAATTACATTAAAGAGTGTGCCTATGGTAGAGTAAAACAGTTTATAAAAAATAGTGATCCAATTGATGAGGATAAGCAAGGATTAGTTCATGAAATTAATGCTAATGAACTAGAAGCATACAAACATGACTATAAGGATTTAATTTTGTTAGTTTGTGATAGTGTTTCTGAGGATTGTATTAAAGCAAAGAAAGAGTTTGATATTGCTGCCAATATGCTTGTAAAACAAAAATATACTGATTTAGCATTTATTGATATAGATAAAAATACAGTTGAAACATGTACATCACAATATCCAATGATTGTTATGTATTCAGGGATTGTGGAACGATCATGTTTTAGTGATAATAGACCAATTACTGCTCAAGTTATTGTGACATTAGCAAGAGAAAGAGGGGTATTTACTATTCAATTAAATTCATTTAATCCAGAGAAAGAAATGATAGATCCACAAGAAGCACTTAAATTGAGAAAAGCGTTATTAAAAGAACGTAGTGGTTTCGAAGAGTCTTCAGAATTTATTAGTGTTTCTAGTTCATGGCGATCTTATCTCAAAAGAAAAGATAATTTATATAAGGCTAAATCATTCACCAGAATACTTAATGATTAGTATAAAATAATTGAATTAAACCAAATATTTGTTTTTTTTTGAAATAACATTATTCAATTAAAAATGACAATGGATTACTTAAAAGTGTTGAAAGAAAATGAATAAATGGACTAATTTTTGTTGGGTTATAACACCTAAAAATATAGGGAGCAAAACGAGTAATTAGTATTGTCTTATCTTCTCCCATTTCTATTAATTTCTTAAGAAAAGAAATTAAATAAAAAAAGAGATGACGATATTCATCAGGAATTGCAAATTTAATAATTTGATTAATTTTTGAATGACTTAATATAGATAAATTTTCTACTATATTGTAATATATACAACATTTATGTAATCCAGATATAAACATTAATAAGGTATCACAAAATAGTTGTATTGGTCCATTAGGAAATGGAGTTTCAGTATTTAACGAATGAATAATATTTCTCATTTCTTGTGAAGTATATAATAATGGACGAACTTCAACAAAACAAGATTGTTGATAATGACTAATAATATAACTTGTTAGTCGATAAAATTCCTTTGGGATATAGAACGGTAATGTAGTATAATTAATTCCTTTATTAAGACTTCCTAGTAATGGACGATCAAGGCGATTTAATGACTCTAATCTCATTCCAATAACACTAGTTAGTGTCTTAACAATAACAGTAAATGAAATAGATTGAGAACGATTATCTCCTAACCAGATATTAATTTTTTTTAATAACAAATTACGATTTTGATACATCCAAGCTTGTGTTTGACTAATATAAATTTGAATAGGGATGTTTATTGAATTTTTACCTTCAAGAATACCAATTAATCCTTTACACTGTTTTATAGTTAACCAATCTTCATGATACTCAGATTGATTGTTTTCTTCAATTTGATATTTTATATCAAATTTTCCATTATTTTTCAATAAAACAGTAGTGGTATATTGTTTTAATAATTCAACATTATCAATAGTAATAATATTTGGTTCAACACTTACATTAGGAATAATAATATTTATATACTTTTTACTTACTTCATCTAAATAATGTTCTATTTCTTGTTTCTTCACTTGATCAATACATTGTAAATCTAAATTCATAAAACAAGTAACTGGTTTATGGTCAGAGGTATATAATTCATGACTAGTATATTCTTTTGCATCAACAAAATGTCTATTTTCTGTTTTCCATAAAACTCTATCACACCACGAAGGAATTCTATTTTCTTTATACTCATTATTTTCTCCTATTTTAACTTTAAATGTTGGTCCAAAATTAATAATAGCTTCATAAAAATTATGAAATGCTTGTTTTCTTCGAATAGAATTTAGTAATTGATCATTCTTGGCAAGTTCTGTATAATCTTTTTTTCTTATATTTTTACGAACTTCAATATCAGACATTTCAATTCTATAATTTAAATCACCCATCCAAATCACTATATCATGTTGTAATAAGTTAACTTTTTTACTACACCTTGAAACACTATCATAATATGAAATTTTCATTTTACTAATTTCAGCCCAATCCTCATTTCTTTTATTCCAAAATTCTTGATGAGCCGCTAAATGACTAACAACAAAACAAATAGTAGAATCATAGACTTTCATTCTATAAGCAACTCCTCCTTTATTGGCTAATGCCCCACTCATTGCCCCAACTCTTATATTTTCAAATCCAACTTCACTAATTTCATTTTGAATTTTTTTGTTAAAGAATACATATAACACAACCCCACATAATTGATAATACCCTAATTTCTCATACCGTAAATGTCCTCTATTAATTGATTGATATAATATTTGTTCATATTGGATAGACTTATCACTAAACTTTTTCCCAGTAATAATTGCATCAACACCCATTTCTAATTCTTGCATTCCACAAACTACAATATCTGGATTAAATCGAATACCATCAGTCCATTCATCAATTTCATGTCTAGTAAATACAGTTTGATTTACATTCCATGTACATGCCAACACACCAATTTGTTTTGCATTAGCATAAAATGGTAAGTAGTTCAAAATATTTTCTTTTTTCCATTGTTTTTTATCAGATACAAAATGACGAATATCATTATATAAACTTAAATTATTTGCTATTTCTTGTCTTAAAGGTTCAATTCCATAAGTAATCCAATTTATTGGTTGTATTGGATTAAATATATTTGAATGTGGTGTTTTTATTGTAAAATATGGTTTATTTAAATATTCTTGTGGCATAATAGAATTTTGATTAAAGGCATTAACAATAGAAGAAATACTAGTTGGTCTAAGAGTAACTGCATTATGTTTAGGTTTATGAGTTAATACATCAGCACTACTTTTAGTAAGATTAATTGGATTCGTTCTTTTCCCAATTGTTAAAGGCTTTGTAATTGATGAATTAGAAATAATCTCTTGATTTATTTTATTAGTTTGAGAAATACCTGTTATTACTGTATCCCATTGTGTATTTATTTTTGAATAAAAAGCTTTTTTAAAAGTAGACTCTTGAGATTCTTCTTTAGTGTTAATAGGTTGAGAAGAAGGTAATTGGTCAAATTGAGGACTAGCACTTTTAGATGGAACAATTGTTAAAGTACTTCTTTGAGGATTACAAGGAAAAAATATTTTAGGCTCACTATTAGAATCATCTTGAAAGAAAGGTCTACGTTTTGGGATCGGTTTAGGAATAGATTCAACAATTATTTCTGGTTTAATTTGGTCAATATCTTGAAGTTTTTCATCAGAGAGTAATTGACCAAACTTTACTTTTGGTTTTGTAGAAAATATTTTTCGAGGGGTTAGTTGTTTTTGTTCTTTCTCAGAAGAAAATAGATTCATATTTAATTGGATATCAGCTTTTTTTAGTTTTAATTGATTTTCTGTTTGTTCTTCCTTAGGTTGAAATGGAAGGATATCATTGTCTTCATTTTTGGATAAATTTTCTGAAAAAACAGAATGATTAAGTGTGAAATGAGACTGAGATTCTTGAGACATTTTAAACAGTAGTGATACAATGATTAACCAGATTATTTAAGTTCAGAGTACGCATGATAATTGAAATTGTTAAGTGTATATTCATTTTCAACAGATAGAGAATAACACAAGTTATTGTAAATTAATATTTATGTTATTTAAAGAATCTATTTTTAAAAAATCAAAGAGAGAGTTACTATTGAAAGGATAAAAACAATATTAAAAATTAGTAAATGGTGTTTTAATTTTCATCTCATATTTGGCAGATTCATGTCGGATAAAAAGAAAAGGGGTTTCAAAAATGAACCAACTGACACTTCAAGTAGTTCAAACTTAGTTTATGATAAACAATTTTGTGAAGTTTTCAAGAAAAATGTATTAAACTTGGTTAATGACTTAAAAACATTAAAAGAAACAATGAAAACTGCAGAGACACTTATTCATTCGATTAATGATCAAATTAGTTCAATTTATAGCAATGATGGAAATTCTATTATTCAAGATGAAGTTCAACAATTCTTAAGTTCAACTGAAGGAATATCATTTAAAACTATTCCATTAATTCAAAACGAGTTGTTTTGTTGTGAATCTTTTTATAAAGAATTATCAAAAAAATTGCCTCGAATGTCTAATGAACAAATACAATGTATTGCTAACCAACGATATGATATGTTGGATCCTATTATTCTATTAGTTTGTGTTTTGTAATAATATTGTTTATATTGATATTGAAAGAGTAAAATATTTTCATATTAAAAATACTCTTTTATTTATTTTTTTCCTTCTATTCAAAATCGAATATTTTTTTTTGTTATGAAATATTTGACTTAAATTGTAGTATATGAAACTTGTTGTTAATTTAACAGGAGAAAAAGCTGTTTCTTTCAAAGGTTTAATGTATAATGCTGTTCAAGATGGTTTAAGTATTCCAAAAACATTAAAATTATTAACTACATTTAAATCTATTGTAGAAAGTAGAATTGGTTCATTATATTTAGAAAAGTATTTAAAAAATACTGGAGAAGAAAGGAATGTTCAATTTTTCCGTTCTGCTTTTATTTATGCTAAAATTAAAACAGCAAATGTAAGGGAATGGGTTTGTAGAAAAATATATGAAGAATTTATTAGCGTTGGTTCAGAAAAAGAAATTTCAATTACACAACCTATTAGAAATAGAATTCTCGTTCAATACGCACAAGGATGTGACCAAAATATTTTTGAAGAAGCTAAAAACTATGTTTTTCAAGAAATGAACTCTAAAAATCTCTTTGAAAGATTCCAAACTTCTCCTTGTTTTAAAGAACTCATTTGTAGAGTAACACCAGTTTTAGTTGATGGAATTTCAGCAACTGATCCAATAGAAGTTCCATGTGAAGAAGAAACATTTGTTAGAGTTGCTAAATATTTAATTCCTTACAACCTTGTCAGTTATACAGAAGTATTTGTTCGTCTTGGATATACAACTCCTCAAATTATGTCTTTACTTACTGAAAAAGAAGTAGATAAATTAACTACTAATGATGTGGACAGAGGAAGACTTATGGAATTTTGTGAAATATGTAAAGAAAATAAATTAGAACAATCAAAAACTTTAACAAAAGAAGCAATAACTAAAGTTCCTACTATCCAAGAGAATTTTATAAAGTATGCAGAACGTACAAATGGAAATATTAAAAACACTCTTGCATTTTTAAATTATATTAAAAACACTGAACCTCAACAAATGACTGTCTCTCAAATATTAACTCGTGCTGAAATGGCATTTGTAGAATTAAAATCAAAACATCACGTTGCTTATAGATTATTAAAAAAATGTGATGATGTACAAGAAATGCAACCATTATTACCTCAATGCAAAAATGCCCTTATTAGTCTTTTACTTGATGAACAATTAGAAGAATATAATATATCTAATTTCTGGAAACCTCAAACAAGAACTAATACAAAAGTTCAAAAACAATCTTCTAAAATAAAATTAAGTAAAACTCCTGAGTTAATAAATGAACCAGAAGAACAAATTAAAAGATCAATTACACCTCTTGGTAGTGGATCATTACATGATATTATGGTTGACGATATTGTTGGAGAGGATGAAGATATTAAGAGTACAAACTTCCTTGTTGCGTCATGTAGAAGAGCAACAGAAAAAGATTTAAGGCTTTCATTACAATATAATCCTGAAGATAATATTCTTGGCCCTCAAAAAACAGAAACAAAAATCAATCAAACTATCACAAAGATTAAAGGAATTATTTTACCCAAATTATCTAAAATGAAAACTCAATTGTTAAATACTTCTTGTCAAAAAGAATTGGATCTTTATAACAGAATATTAGCTAATTTCGTCGAATTTGTACACATGCTTGGAGAAGAAGTTAATCCATTAGAAAATAAAAACTTTAATATTAAAATAGCTGATGGAAATTTAAGGACTAATGTCATAGTTTCATTAAATCAACTTGATGCTATTCAAGTTTCTTGTGATACTATTTTACATCAATTAAACTCATTACTTGTTCAAATAAGAACAACTAATACTACAGTTGTTAAATATCAAAATGTTGTACAGCGTATTTCTGATGCTCTCTAAATTCAGAAGAGACATAATAAACAACATAAATTGATTTTTCTTCATACTTTTCCTCTTATAAAAAAGAAAACTTTAAAAAAAAAAAAATAAATAAATAGGATATGAACGTAAGAGAAAAGGCTTCTAATTATTCTACCAAGTCTTTTCCTAATGCAAAGTCAATGAACATTAAATGTCAAAATATTATTCAACATTGGGGTGTTATCTGGTCTAATTTATATAGTATGATAGAATCAACTAATAAAAAGATTTTAACAAAAAATAAATGGTCTTATCGTGATTTAACATTTAAAATGACTCATCCCTCAAGCCATATTTCATCTTTTAATATTAAACTCTTTCCAGATTATTACGAAAAACAACTCCATATTCAGTACAATAATCCTACATTACCAAGACTTCATAGCCAAAGTACAATTGAGAAATATTGTATGAACCAATACCTTAAATCTATTTCTATGAAAACTTCTTTATCTAGAATACCAACAAAATCAGTGAAAGACCGTCACGAAAAAATTCCGACATACTACATGTACAACTATGGTATTATTAAGTTTAATAATTATAATTATGAAGATATTGTTTTTACAATTCATATTCCTTGTATGTGTGCTTGGGAACGAGAAGAATATCCTATAATATCTTCTACATTCTCTATGTTAATTCCTCATGAAATGGAAATCTCAAGTAATACATTTCTATGGGATGTTTTTTTAGATAATCTTAATAAATTGTTCTTTGAATTTCAGTTAAGTCATTGTGAATATGAAACTGAAGATACTAGTTATCATTCATTAACTCGATCCTTAACTAAATGTATTAATCATTTTGATGAATATCTTCTTGCTTTAACTATTCCTAAAAAGAAAAAAGAGTTAAAACAAATTCCTTTTGTTCCATCATATGAATTTCTTCAAAAAGTGATTGCAAATCATATTATTTCACATTACACTCTAATTGTATCAGATGTTCCATCTTATAGTCAATACATTTATGACCTTTTATATCCTTTAGATCAAGCTAATTTATATAATCAACCAAATACCCAACCTCTATCACAGAAAATTATCTCTATTCCAAACCCATTTTTTAGAACAATATGTTTAACCTCTTTCACTGAAGAACAATATTTCCTCCTACCTTATCCTTTCTGTGTTATTGATCCAGTTAACCAAACTGTGGGACGTTCTTTAACACAAAGTATATCCCGTTATTTCATTCAACGACAAAATTATTTTATGATGTATGCCTCAAAAAAACTCTTCATTCCACAATTTATCCCAACTATAAAAATACTTCCTGAATTACTTAATCCTCCAACCTCACAATTCCTTTCTGAGTATACTCTCCTTGTGTTAAATCTATTACAACAAAATAAATCTTTAGTAATTAGTGCTGTTTTGTTACAGTTATTAAATTCATGTTCTATGAAAGCACATTTGATGTCTGAATTACTTAAGAAATTAAACACTAAATATAATGATGGAACAATAACTCCTTTCATAGTTAATGAATTAGAACATCAAATGGGTTGTGATCTTGAGGGTTTGAGAGTAATTTTAGGATCCTACAAATTTACTGAACCACATTTTGTTGGGATGATTATCGATGGAATAGAAAAGTCAGTGTGAGATGTATGTAATCTAAAGTCACTATTTCAACAACAAATTTAACATCTTTCTTGTGGATTTAATTTCATAAAATCATGTTATCAATTTTAGAATCCAAAAACGAATTTAAAAAAAAATATGAAAAATAAAGAAAAGAGTTATTTATTATCAAAATATAAAAATTTCAATTCAAAGTTTATCTTCATTTACTTAAATCTATTAAAAATTATTTTAATCAATAATTCATTTCTTATTGTTTTAATTTGTTTCGTTATTCTCTTCAAAAAAATATTGTTATATAACATAAATTGATTTTACTCTAAATTTTAAATTCTTTTTTTCTAAATATAAATTATTCTATTGCAAAAATGAAGATAAGATTTTTAAGATATTTTTATTATCTTAAGATATAAAAAAGAAGATAAGATATTTATAGAAGTATTATTTTAAATTCTTTATTATTTATCCAGAATAAATAAAAAAAAAGGATATTTAAGATTAAATGAAGGAAAAATCAGAAGAGATAATATTCAATTATAAATCTTGTTGGTAATTATGTTCTAATAAATGATTCAAGGTAATTGCTAATTTAGATATATTTGTTATAGAAGATGACATAAGTGGAATAAGACCTTCGTCAAAATGATGAGAAATTAAACCGTCAGCAACTTGTGGTTCTGGAAGAGTATTATCGTAAACTATAAACTTTGTGACTCCTTGTAATAAAATTGAACAAAAGTTAGTGTCCTGAAATGGTAAACATGCAGTAATTGCTGCATAAACAATGTCACTTTTTATTAAATTATACATTGAGTCATTAATTTTAAATATTGTATTAGCTAATAACCAACAAGCCTCACTTTTAATTTTAACATCATTTGTTTCTAATATTGTACAGCATGTAGAAAGAAAGGCTCCACTATTAATAATTGCTTTAGTAGTTTCAGGAAATTTACTAACTGAGATATTAGAAAGCATCCAATAACCTCTTCTTAATATAGTTTTATCAGTCATAGATAATTTACTTACAACAGCAGAAATAATTTGTGGTTGTAATAATACATCATCTTTAAAATAACAATACTTTCCTAAACATTGGAAACATATATCAATTAAACTTTCATTTTGTGTTTTATCAAGAATTTCCAATATTTTTTGTTCAATTTTTACTGGTTTTAATTCGTCTATAAAAACTGAATCATTGTATAATGAAGTTGCAGCAGAAACACATTCAATCAATACAGATTCATCATCAATAGAAAATAATTTAGAGAATAAAGGAATATACTGTATTATATAATTATGACTGAAACAATACTGTTTAGATAATGTAGCAAATATTGCTGCTGTATGTTGACACATACATAATTGGTTTTCTGTTGTAGCAAGAATTTCTACTAATCTTTGTAAGATTCCTTTCTCAAGATATAATTCTGAAAAGTAACGAGATGTACATAATTTTGTAATAAGATCTAATATGACACTAATCACTTCATCTCTTCTATATAATAATTTAAAAGTTGATTCAATTAATCCGTATTTCTCAAAACTTTTTAATGTTTCAATATCAATATCAGATATAATATTTAGAAGTTGTCCATAAACACTAAATAATCGCTCTTGATTTACTATAACTGTATCTAATAATGGTTTGTTTAAATACAAAAATATACCACTAATCAATTCTGGTATTATTCTTGAAGAAAAAACAATATGTAACTCTTTATTCTTCAAACTTTCAGATGCAATTATAACCATCAAATTATATAGCCTGTTTTCATCAGGAGTACTACTTAAAACGGTTATTTGCTGATGAGTTTGTTCTTCTAATTCTTTATACTTTTCTCTTAAAAATTCATTTCTCTCTTGTTGAATTTTTTCTTTTGCAGCTTTTTGTTGTTGACTCGTTGACACACTTTCTTCCTTTCTTCTTTGTTCCATTAGTTGTTCTCTCTTCTTTCTTCTATCATCAATCCTTTCATTTCTTTTTGACCTTAAACCTTCTTCAGTATCACCAATTTTTCTAAAAGACATTAAGTTACTGAAAGTTCTTCTTTTTTTATTGTTTAATGAAAATATATTAATTATAATATATTTTCTTATAATTTTGATAATTTCAAATAACACAAAGTTGAAAAAAGAACAAATAACAAAAATAAAGTAAAACTAAAAAAAAACAAAAAGAACTCAATCAGAATCAAAAAGAAATGAATGTTATTAATGCTCTTCAAGAATATTTAAATTTTACATTTAATGAAACACCTGGAATGAAAGCACTGATAATGGATGCAGACACTATTCCTGTTGTTTCTATTTTATTTGGAATGACTGAAATTATTCAAAAAGAAGTATATTTAGTTCAACAATTAAGTGATCAAACACGAGATACATTACCACACCTCAATGCTATTTGTTTACTTAGACCAACAAAAGAAAATATGGAATTGTTAAGAAAAGAATTAAATAATCCAAAATATGGGAAATATTATTTGTTTTTTACTAATTTTCTTGACTCAACTCAAATATCATTATTAAGTCAATCTGATGTACATGAAGTTGTTCAAAAAGTAATGGAATTATATGTTGATTATATGCCAGTTAATGATGATTTATTTATTTCATCATGTCCTAATTATTATTCAGTGGTAGGTTCAAATTCAATGAAAAATGAACAAAAAACTATTGATTCCCTTATGGCTCTTTGTCTTTCATTAAAAAAAAATCCAGCAATTAGATATCAACAAAATAGTGAATTAAGTAAACGTATTGCTGAAGGACTTACTCAAGGATTAGAAAGACAAAAGAAAATATTTGGACCAATGAATGGTACTACAATTCTTATTCTTGATCGTTCATTTGATCCAATTACACCACTTTTAACACAATGGACATATCAAGCAATGATTCATGAATTTATAGGTATTGAAAATGGTAAAATTGTATTAGATAATAAACCAATTATTCTTTCAAATGATTCTTTCTTTAATGAACATATGTATTTATTATTTAGTGATATTACTGATTCTATTATTGCTTCTGTAAATGAATTAACTAAAAAAGCAGGTATAGCAAGTAAACAATATCGATCATTAGAAGAAATGAAAGAAACAATTGAACAAATTCCACAATTAAAAAAAGAATCTGCAGGAGTAAAGAAACATCTTGGAATTATGAATGTTATAAACAAAATAGTAAGTAGAAGAAAAATGCTTGATGTTTCTCGACTTGAACAAGATATTGTTTGTGGATCAGGAAGACAAGAACTTTATCAAAGTGTTATTCAATTTTTTGAAGGAGATTATGAAGTAGAAGATAAATTAAGAGTTGGACTATTATATGCTTTAAAATATGAAGATAAAGCACAAGATATTATTGAAGAATTAACAATTAAAGGAATTCCAAGAAATCAAATTCAATTAATTGATGTTGTATTAAGATATGCTGGAAGTTCTAAACGCCCAATTGAAATTTTTAATAAAGTTAAATCAATTGTTGGGTTTGTTAAGAAAAGTGTTGCTGGAGTTGAAAATGTATTTGTTCAACATAAACCAGTATTAGAACAATTATATGATCCACTAATTAATCAACAATTATTAGATAAATTCCCATTTTGTAGAGGAAGTAGTGCTAATGGAAGAGAATTTATTATATATATTGTAGGTGGTGTTACATTAGAAGAAGAAGTTAGTATTGCTACAAGAAATAGAACTAATCCTACTCAAAAATTTATTATTGGAGGATCTGATTTGTTAAATTCTTCAAAATTCATTGAACTGCTTGAATCAATGAAGAAATAATTAATTAATATTTCTTTCAAAAACATAAATTGATTTATTTTGTTATTGTTTTTTTATTTTCTAAAATTCTACAAAACGTAATTACAATATTATTTTAAATTTATATTTCTTATTAAATATGTTTATTTCATATTTATTAAATAACAACAGAAACATTAAATGTTAATTATTATCCAATCATTTCTTAATTGAAAGATATATTGTTGTATTTATTCTTTTATATTTCCTTGAATTGTTTATTTTTTAAAAAATCTTTCATATTCTATTTTTAAAAAATATTTTAAATTATATTTTTAAATATATTATTTTTCAATTGAATACTATTTATTAAATTAAATTTCAAGAATATATATTCAATATTGTTTAATTAAAACTAATTTACTTTTGGTGCAAATTTAAAGTGGTTTATTTCCTACATCTTTTAACTCTTGAAGTTAAGACTAATAATTTTTTTGTCAATTGTTACATTAAAAACCTCTTTTATGATAATGTGTTCCAAACACAAATAAAATAATTCAAAAATATGGAGACTAAAAAAAAGATATTATGAACAATTGTATTAGATTAATACAATCTTAAAAAATATAAATAAATTACTCTTGCTTAACTCTCTTCCTTTTTTAATTCTAGATATTTCTAGATATTCTTTAAATTATAAATACTAAACAACTTAAAAATAAGAAACATTTATTAATTCTTATTCACACCTCAACTAAACAAAATTTTTTAACGATTCTTTTAGTGCATGTATTAATAACATCTATCCTAACCATTCATAAAAACAAATTTTAAACAATAATCTAAATGTTTTGTAAATTAAACAATAATTAAAAGAAGCAACATTCTCCTATCACACCCTTTGTTTTTGTAAGTCATAAAACTAGACTGGTATTGTTAAACCATTCTTTATCATAGAGTATCCTTTATTGAAGAATGCTTCTCAACAATAAAAGAATGTCAACACTTTGTAAACAAGCACCAACTAATTTATAGTGATTAAACTAACTTAATAATTCTATCAACAACTATTCTACTAAGAGATATTTTTTCTTCTTTGAAGTGAATTTATTTTGGAAAAAGAAAATATGGGTTTAAAAAGAGAAGAATTATTTTCCATATAAAATGAAAAAAACTTAGATAAAATCGTTGGAAAATACAGTATAAGAAGTCTAATTGATTGAGAGTGAAAAAAGAGAAAACAAAACCCTTAAACAATCCAACAGAGTTAGAAGGAAAAAATGAAGAAATTTGAAGAACAACTCCAAAATTTAAGTATTGTAATGGAGGACTACTCGATATCACAAATCCACACTGAGGATGTTTTACAACACTCATTACCTCCATCAACAAATGGAGAAACAGAAAAAAAAGAAATTAAAAAATCTGAAGAAGATAGTCAAAGAGAAATATTCCAACCTAAGGTTGTGAGAAGAAAAGACAGAGTAAGTGATGACATGATGAGGATTATTAAAAATATGAGAAGAAGAGGGTATAAAGCAAAAGAAATCTCAATTTTGACTGATCTTACCAAAGGAACTATTAAAAAGTGTATTTCAAAAATTGAAGATGATAAACCATTAATTGATGAAACAAGTAGTGTCCTCAAAAAAAGAGGTCGTAAAAAGTCAGAAAATACAGATTTACAAGAAAAAATTCAAAGTATATTACATGATAATGATGGAATTACTCTTAAAACAATGAAAGATAGATTAAAGGATGGAGGTTATGGTATTTCTGTCAGTTATTTATCTAAAACAATAAAGAAAATGGGTATTAAAAGAAAGCCATCTCAACAAAATGTTCAAGTTAGAAAATCTGATGACCATCATGAATCTCAATCAATTCAAGATACATCTATGGTTGTGCCAAATCAATCACAACAAGATTCATTACCTCCTCCTGTGAATCCGCTCCAATAAACAAACAATTCTATGAATATTGTTTATTTGTTTGTTGGTGTTTATTAAAAAATTAATTTCATTTTCGGTTCGTTCATCTTAAATTTATTTTTAAGTATTTTTACAAAAACACAAATTTTTGTTTTTAAAATGAAATTTCATTAAATTGTCATAAATCACATTTTAAATTATTTATATTTTAAAATTTAAGATTTTTTTTCTGGATTCAAGAATCTATTATCACTACATTATTAACAACAACTAATATAACAAGAAATACTTTCTGAATTAGTATAACTTTGGACAAACCTTCTTTTTATGACAAAGAGCAAGAATAAGTACAATATTGAATTCACTTTAATACTACAACAACAAATTATATTGAGTCGTAAGTTTAAAGAGTATACAAACTGTACTTTGAATATTAAAAAGTCTTTGTTATGTTTTATTTAATATTCTTATGAAATGGTAATTATAATTATTCGTTTTATTTTAAGTGATTGTATGTCAACACAATTATTTAATTCATCAGATCTTTTAGGTTATTCTATCTTATTCTTAGATAGTTGTGTAAGTGCAACAAAGAATGGAACATCAGGAAATGAAGTAATTTCAACATTGCTTTCAAATAAGCCAATTTGTGATTCATTATTTGGTATTGCAATTAAAGCATTTCCAATGACACCAGAACCATCATTGATGTTAATAGGGTCAATGTGTTATTCACTTGAAGCAAGTTTTGCACCATATTGTCTTCCATTAATTCCAAAAACGGTAGAATGGTTAAATAGTGAATTACCACCAAACATATACAAATTGTTATGTGAACTTGTAGGTGATATTAGTATAACAATACAAAAAGAGTTTGAACAATATGCAAGTAACTATTTAGAGTTAATTCTTAGAATATTTAAAAAGCCATATTTAACATTTGGGGATAAAACAGGTATTATTCAAGTAATTGGAGATATCATAGCAACATGTCCTAAAGAAAGTCAA